CTCTGTGGTGTTCTCTGTATTTCCTGCAATTGAGTGTTGGCCTGTCTTGCTAGGTGGGAGAAGTTTTCCTGGATGATGTCCTGAAGAGTATTTTCCAGCTGGGATTCATTCTCTTTGTCCCCTTCTGGTACACCTATCAAACGTAGGTTAGGTCTTTTCACATAGTCCCACATTTCTTGGAGACTTTGTTCATTCCTTTTTGCGCTTTTTTCTCTAATCTTGGTTTCTCGTTTAATTTCATTGAGTTGGTCTTCGACTTCAGATATTCTTTCTTCTGCTTGGTCAATTCGGCTATCGAAACTTGTGCATGCTTCGTGAAGTTCTCGTATTGTGTTTTTCAGCTCCTGTAATTCATTCATATTCCTCTCTAAGTTATCCATTCTTGTTATCATTTCCTCACATCTTTTTTTAAGTTCCTTAGTTTCTTTGCATTGATTTAATACATGTTCTTTTAGCTTACAAAAGTTTCTCATTATCCACCTTCTGAAGTCTAATTCCATCATTTTGTCACAGTCATTCTCCGTCCAGCTTTGTTCCCTTGCTGGCAAGGAGTTTTGGTCCCTTCTAGGAGGCAAGGTGTTCTGGTTTGGGGTGTTTTTCTCCTTTTTTCGCTGGTTTCTTCCCATCTTTGTGGGTTTATTTACTTGTCGTCTGCATTGTTGCTGACTTTTCAATTGGGTCTCTGAGTGGACACCCCGATTGTTGATGATGAAGTATTTCTGTTACTTGGTTTTCCTTCTACCAGGCTAGCTCCTTCGCTGTACGACTGCTGAGGTCCACTCCAGGCCCTGCTTGTCTGGGTTGCACCTCTAGCAGCTGTGGCACAGTGAGGGATGCTACCCGTTTCTTTTTCTGCTATCTTTGTCCCAGGATGATGCCTGCCAAATGTCAGTCTTTTGGATATAGAGGGCTCAGGGAGCTGCTTGAGGAGACAGTCTGTACTTTTTAGGAGCTCAGTTGCTGAGCTATGAGCTCTGTTGTTCATTCAGGGGTGTTAGGCTGCTATGTTTGATTCTGCTGCAACAGAGCTCATTAAAAAGACCCTTTTTTTTCTCAAATGCCTTGTGTTGGGGGGTTCGGGCTTTATTTTTCGATGTCCGTTGAGGTGTCCTGCCCAGCTAGGAGCAGACTAGCCACTGTTTGCCTGCCGAGGCTCCGCCCTGCTGTTGTGAGGTTTGCCCTTTTGCTGCAGGCTCTGCTGTTCTGCTGTGGTCTCCGCCACGCCCTGCGGCGGAGTCTCTCTGTTGTAGCGGGTTTCCTCGGCAAAGGCAGGCTGCGTCAGCAGTGGGCGTATATCTCAGTAGGGACGGGTTGCCTCGGCAACAGCTGGCAGCGTCAGCAGTGGGCGTGTATCTCAGTAGGGATGGGTTGCCTCGGCAACAGCTGGCTGTGTCAGCAGTGGGCGTGTATTTCAGTTGGGGCGGGTTGCCTCGGTAGTGGTGGATGCCCCTCCTTTACTGAGCGTCTCGGACCGTCTGCTCGGGATAGTTTGAAATCGCGGTTTTTTTCATCCCACTGGGTACCCCAAACGCTCTGTCCCTGCAATCCCCTGGGCTGGCGTACTGTCAAAGTCTCATTCAGTCTCAAGTCCAGCCCTCTCAAGTCTCAGGTTGCCGGTTCAACAGGGCACCCGGACAAGCGCGCTCTGTGGGGATTGCTGGGTAGGGCCGTCCGCCGCTGCCCCGGCTGCCGGCTTTGCCAGGCAGACCTACTGCCTGGCGTCCTGTGTCTTTTTTATACTTGGGAGTTTCCCCGTTCTGTGGGCTACAAAGATCAGTCTGGAAATGCAGCTCCGACTCACCTCTTTGCGGATTCAACGAAAGCTCCAATCCTGGGTTGTTCTCACAGCGCCATCTTGAGTCCTCTCCCTGTCTGGCTAATTTTTGTATTTTTGGTAGAGATGGGGTTTCTCCATGTTGGCCAGGGTGCTCTTGAACTCTTGACCTCAGGTGATCCACCGACCTTGGCCTCCCAAGCTGGGATTACAGGTGTGGGCCACCACACCTGGCCTCTCTTCTTCTTATATTGAGTATTTTGAGTAAATTAGATTATTAGTATGAAATCAAATTGCTTTCCCAAAGAAATATTCAGTTTGTCTTATGTCCACCTATGAATTATATGTATTATTTTAAAAAGCAGAAAATAGCCAAAAAAGCAAGGTTGTATGCCAAATACCATGAAATCAAAAACAAAATGTATAAGTGTATGAAGCACAATATAATGTAGACATCCCCATATTCTGTTTGCAGTTGGGATATTATTAACATTGCTGTCTTTAATGTGGATATGGGAACATAGAGTTAAAAGATTACTCTGAAACTTCAAGACTGTATACGACTTAAAACAGCTACTATAACTTCAGTTTAAGTTGCTTTTAAGTATATCTTTGGTTAATTTGAAATTCACAGTTTTAATATTTGCAGTAACAGAGGCAGCAGCAGGTATAGTAGTTTAGTTATTAATCCTATGATAATGTAATTGTGCTAGTGTTAATACAGGATTTGAACTTGGGTTGTGTGGCTGTAAAACTCATGCTTTTATCCACTTCATTATAGTGGTAATGTTGATATGTAGGTGTGTTAATAAAGGGTTGTTTTATTAAAAACATACTAGATGAAAAAAAGATGCTATTTTCATGTAAGAAAATTGGAGAGCATGCCTGCAACTATTTGTCTCTCACTGATTTCAGACAAAATATATTGGAGAAAATAAAATAATTTCTTTATAGTTGGTTTAAAATTATAAAGAAAAACATCCTGCCCACCAAAAGGTGTTAAGTACTTTAATGGTTTTAGAATACGATGTCCATCTACTGATAGATGTTCTTTAACAGCTAACCTCCCCATTTGTTAGCTTCTTACTCTTGCTTTCACATGCCACCTCTTTCTTATTCTGCATTGCTATACTTGGTTGATTTTATTTACTTTACAGAGGAATAAACAGAATATAGCCAGTCTCTGGGAGGGATGGATGAACAAGAGAGAGGCTAAAATTATGTAAACTTTTAGGTAAAGGGAAAATTTTGGAGGACTGTGAAGGGAACACACATTCTGTTAAAACAAGGAAGTCCTGCAAATGGTGGGGATGTTGATGGAAAGATCTTTACTCTCTTGAGGGTCAAGTGAGTTGAAAAGGACAGAATGGTCTCATGGCAAGGAGTGGTAATTTTAAACAACACAATAAATTAATTATAGATTAGGTGCAAAAATATATCTTCAGAAGACCCAGAGCATAGAGGGATGTTAATAAATAGAAATAGAACTGGAGTGCTGAGAGGAGACTGTTAAATTTGATGTTTTGAAAGCTGAGGGTTTGGTTATAATAGCACAATATGGAGAGTCCAGCAGCTTTTAACAGGGAGTAAAAAGTTGAGTGTTCTGTACAGACCCAGCACTGTATAAGTATCAGTGACTTACTAGATACACCTTTTACTAGGTGATGCTCAAAAAATGAGGCAACTTTCCTTTGTGGCTTCTGATCATTTTCATTAATATTATCTTGGGTGAATCATTAGATATCTGTTTTTATGCTACACTATTGGCTTTTGAAATGTCTTCATTGTTGAAAAATGCACTCTTAAATTGTTGAGGAATGCACCCTTAAAAAGAGAAATAAGAGTTTTAAAAGACAATTGCTTCATGGAAGTGGCAGGCAAGGTACCTGGTGTCAAAATAAAACTGAGCGCTTATGTAGTCTAATATAGAAGGACCTATGTACTTGATTTATCCTGAAACTTAGTTTCAGCAGAAATTCATATATAGAGAAAGACTTTTCTGTTTTTGTCTTATTTGTCAGAAAAATCAAAGTCTATATTCAGTTACAATAATTTATACTTAGATGCTTAGAGTCAAAAGGATTTTTTTCCTGCTTTTTCCTCCAAGATTTTTTGAAATTTCAAATCAACCTGCTTTATATTTGTGGCTAATGATATTAATCTATCTCAAATCCTTTTTTAACAATGGGAAAGTTAGAAATTTTAAATAGATCGTGTATACCTTGTGTATTTAAGTGGCCTGAATGATCCCCTTGAGTTTTCCATATATATTTCTCAGGTTATCTACCTTTTGTGAAACCTTCCTCTTTTTTATACTTCAAGATGCCTCTGCTGTTTGTTGTATCTAAGTTTCATTTGTTTAAATGTTTTGAACAGGAGATTATACAAGCTTGTCTTGCCCCAGATTCTACATCCCTATCTAGAACTGTCATTAGTTATTCCAGAGCAGAGTACTGTGACCTCCAAAGAAGTCACAATATTGTAAAAACCATGTTGTGTATTATGGTATGCATTTTGTTGGCAGATGCTTATAAAAGAGTATTCTTTCATTCAACAAATACTGATCACTCAATGAGTGTCAGGCACTCTTCTGAATGTTGGATGAAAAGCTAAATGAAGTCCCTGCTTTGTGGAGCTACACCTTTATATGTGTAGTTGGTGGCAAGGTGTGGACAGGCAATAAAAAAAGTGAGATGAATTTAGATAATGACAATGGCTGTGAAGAAAATAAAATAAGATAGTATAATAGAGTGAGTGGGAGTTGGGAGAGGTGCAGTCATGTAAGACCTGCTATGGAGAAGACATTTGACTGGGAGACCTGAATAATAACATACACAGAACACAAACTTTTAGGTAATCACTTAAAAGCCAAGGAATTTGTTAAAGGTTTTAATCCCCACAAACATAATCTTTATGAAAAGTGCTTATGTATGAAAATTTAAAATGAGTATTATGGATTTATTTGGAATTTGAAAAGAGTTTTCTAAGATTTTATTTGACTGAAAATGATAACTAAGTATGGCTATTATGCTTTAAAAATCCCAGTAGTATTTTTATCTTGACTTATGCAATTAAGAAAAGCTAACTGTATTTTTTTAATGTATCAAGTGCCTAGAGATATTCATATTATATTTCCTATGTTAACAAACATAATTTTGAAGATTAAATGATACAACAATGCAGTTAGCTTTATAACTGATTTCTCCTCCCCTCCCACTTTTTAAAGAAATTGATCACCCATGAGAAGTTTGAACGTGCGTGTGAAGAGCTAAATAATGCATTACTTCGGGAACAGCAGGCACAAATGCTATTGAATGAGCAGGCACAACAACTACAGGAATTGAATTACAGACTTGAATTGCACTCCAGTGAGGAAGCTGACAAAAACCAAACTCTTGGAGAAGCTGTTAAGGTAAGAGAATACAGGGATATTTGCATAAAGGGATATTTTCTCTTTGTGTGGATCTTAGAGGAAATTAATGGTATCTATTGAATAGGGACTAGATCCCAAGATGTGAAATTTTATTCTGTGAGGACAGAATCAAACATGGTTCTGAGACCTCAGTTATAAGCCTGCATTCACATGTATTGAGAAGGTAAAAGTAGTCTTTACTTTGTAGTTGAAAACAAAGTGAAGATCTTTTCCAGTAATAATAACAATTATTATTAACAATAAATTTTTTGTTTCTTTTATCTTCCTTCTTCCTCTCTTTATATATATTTTTTTCTTGTTTTGTACCCAATGGATATTGGAAACTCCATTCACCTTTTGGATTCTGGAAGGTTTTGGTCTGGGTTGCTCTGATTCTTATGTAAGTGCATATGTGGAGAGGAAGGAGGTTTAGTTAGAAAGAATTCTTCTTTCTGTCAAATATTTGTGGTAAAGGTATTTCAAAGGAAAAAAGCTATCATTTAAAAGTTGTCACTGGGAAAATTACATTAATGGATTTAGGACTATAGTATTTTCTAGAAAAGTTAGCTACAAAGTATAATAGAATTCTAGTTCTTTATTATACAACTGTGGATTTTTCACTAGTGAGATTATATTCATTGGAATGGAACTAAATCCAGGGAAACAAAAATGATATAGCCTCTAAATAGGATATCACGCTTAATACAATTAATCAACTCCAAGTTGATATTAATGTATAAAATATTATCTATTTATTCTAATATCTTAATACTATTATGATCAATGATAAAATAGCAAAAATTTATTGTTAACTTCTTGTTTACTAGACACTATGCTAACTACTTTAAAATACTTAGGTACTCTTCAAAGAAACTCTATGGAATTATTCCTGTTTTATAGATGAGAAAACAGGTACAGAGAGGTGACATAACTTACACATTTCTTCATAAGTAATAAATCTAGGGAGTCATATTTCACATGTGTCTTCCTAACCACCACATTGTATATTCCACCGATTGATAGTGTACATTTGCCAGGCTCTGTGTTACTGTCTACATGAATTATGTTATTTCATTTTAAACTACCTTTGTGAGGGTAGGTACTATTATTATGATTTTGATTGTGGCTTTCTTTTAAAATTTTTTATTGCATTTTAGGTTTTGGGGTACATGAGCAGAACATGCAAGACAGTTGCGTAGGTACGCACATGGCAGTGTGTTTTGCTTCCTTTCTCCTCTTCACCCACATTTGGCATTTCTCCCCAGGCTATCCCTCCCCACCTCCCCCTCCCACTGTCCCTCCTTTTTTCTGCCCAATAGACCCCAGTGTTTAGTACTCCCCTCCCTGTGTCCATGTGTTCTCATTTTTTCATCACCCGCCTATGAGTGAAAATATGCAGTGTTTCATTTTCTGTTCTTGTGTCAGTTTGCTGAGAATGATGTTCTCCAGATTCATCCATGTCCCTACAAAGGACACAAACTCATCATTTCTGATTGCTGCATAATATTCCATGGTGTATATGTGCCACATTTTCCTGATCCAGTCTATCATCAATAGGCATTTGGGTTGATTCCAGGTCTTTGCTATTGTAAACAGTGCTGCAATGAACATTCGTGTACATGTGTCCTTATAGTAGAACAATTTATAGTCCTTTGGATATATACCCAGTAATGGGATTGCTGGGTCAAATGGAATTTCTATTTCTAAGGCCTTGAGGAATCGCCACACTGTCTTCCACAATGGTTGAACTAATTTACACTCCCACCAACAGTGTAAAAGTGTTCCTTTTTCTCCACATCCTCTCCAGCATCTGTTGTCTCCAGATTTTTTAATGATCGCCATTCTAACTGGCGTGAGATAGTATCTCAATGTGGTTTTGATTTGCATCTCTCTGATGACCAGTGACGATGAGCATTTTTTCATATGATTGTTGGCCTCATATATGTCTTCTTTGGTAAAGTGTCCGTTCATATCCTTTGCCCACTTTTGAATGGGCTTGTTTGTTTTTTTCCTGTAAATCTGTTTGAGTTCTTTGTAGATTCTGGATATCAGCCCTTTGTGAGATGGGTAAACTGCAAAAATTTTTTCCCATTCTGTTGGTTGCCGATCCACTCTAGTGACTGTTTCTTTTGCCATGCAGAAGCTGTGGAGTGTGATTAGGTCCCATTTGTCTATTTTGGCTTTTGTTGCCAATGCTTTTGGTGTTTTGTTCATGAAGTCCTTGCCTACTCCTATGTCCTGGATGGTTTTGCCTAGATTTGCTTCTAGGGTTTTTATGGTGCCAGGTCTTATGTTTAAGTCTTTAATCCATCTGGAGTTAATTTTACTGTAAGGTGTCAGGAAGGGGTCCAGTTTCTGCTTACTGCACATGGCTAGCCAGTTTTCCCAACACCATTTGTTAAACAGGGAATCCTTTCCCCATTGCTTGTTTTTGTCAGGTTTATCAAAGATTGTATGGTTGTAGATATGTTGTGTTGCCTCCTGTGCCTCTGTTTTGTTCCATTGGTCTATATCTCTGTTTTGGTACCAGTACCATGCTGTTTTGATTACTGTAGCCTTGTAGTATAGTTTGAAATCCGGTAGGGTGATGCCCCCTGCTGTGTTTTTTTTTGCTTAGAATCGACTTGGCTATGTGGGCTCTCATTTGGTTTCATATGAAGTTCATGGTGGTTTTTTCCAGTTCTGTGAAGAAACTCAATGGTAGCTTGATGGGGATAGCATTGATTCTGTAAATTACTTTGGGCAGTATAGCCATTTTCACGATATTAATTCTTCCTAACCATGAACATGGAATGTTTCTCCGTCTGTTTGTGTCCTCTCTGATTTCGTTGAGCAGTGGTTTGTAGTTTTCCTTGAAGAGGTCCCTTACATTCTTTGTGAGTTGTATTCCAAGGTATTTTATTCTTTTTGTAGCAATTGTGAATGGCAGTTCGTTTTTGATTTGGCTTTCTTTAAGTCTGTCATTGGTGTAGAGGAATGCTTGTGATTTTTGCACATTGATTTTATATCCTGAGACTTTGCTGAAGTTGCTTATCAGTTTCAGGAGTTTTTGGGCTGAAGCGAGGGGTCTTCTAGGTATACTATCATGTCGTCTGCAAATAGAGACAATTTGGCTTCCATGTTTCCTATTTGAATACCCTTTATTTCTGTTTCTTGCCTGATTGCTCTGGCTAGAACTTCCAGTACTATATTGAATAGGAATGGTGAGAGAGGGCATCCTTGTCTAGTGCCAGATTTCAAAGGGAATGCTTCTAGTTTTTGCCCATTCAGTATGTTATTGGCTGTTGGTTTGTCATAAATAGCTTTTATTACTTTGAGATACGTTTCATCGATACCGAGTTTTTTGAGGGTTTTTAGCATAAAGGGCTGTTGAATTTTGTCAAATGCCTTCTCTGCATCAATTGAGATAATCATGTGGTTTTTATTTTTGGTTCTGTTTATGTGGTGAATTACGTTTATAGACTTGCGTATGTTGAACCAGCCTTGCATCCCCGGGTTGAATCCTACTTGATCATGATGAATAAGTTTTTTGATTTGCTGTTGCAATTGGCTTGCCAATATTTTATTGAAGATTTTTGCATCTATGTTCATCATGGATATTGGCCTGAAGTTTTCTTTTCTTGTTGTGTATCTGCCGGGTTTTGGTATCAGAATGATGTTGGTCTCATAAAATGATTTGGGAAGGATTCCCTCTTTTTTGGATTATTTGGAATAGTTTCAGAAGGAATGGTACCAGCTCCTCTTTGTGTGTCTGGTAGAATTCGTCTGTGAACCCCTCTTGACCTGGGCTTTTTTTGAGTGGTAGGCTCTTGATTGCTGCCTCGACTTCTGACCTTGTTATTGGTATTCATAGTTTCAGCTTTCTCCTTGTTTAGGCTTGGGAGGACACAGGAGTCCAGGAATTTATCCATTTTTCCAGGTTTACTTGTTCATATGCATAGAGTTGTCTGTAATATTCTCTGATGATGGTTTGAATTTCTGTGGAATCTGTGGTGATTTCCCCTTTATCATTTTTTATTGCATCTATTTGGTTGTTCTCTCTTTTATTTTAATCAATCTGGCTAGTGGTCTGTCATTTTGTTGATCTTTTCAAAAAACCAGCTCTTGGATTTATTGATTTTTTGGAGGGTTTTTCGTGTCTCAATCTCCTTCAGTTCAGCTCTGATCTTAGTTATTTCTTGTCTTCTGCTGGGTTTTGAGTTTTTTTGATCTTGCTTCTCTAGCTCTTATAGTTTTGACACTAGGGTGTCAATTTTGGATCTCTCCATTCTCCTCATATGGGCACTTATTGCTATATACTTTCCTCTAGCGACTGCTTTAAATGTGTCACAGAGATTCTGGCATGTTGTGTCTTCGTTCTCGTTGGTTTCGAAAAACTTTTTTATTTCTGCTTTTATTTCGTTGTTTATCCAGTCAACATTCAAGAGCCAGTTGTTGAGTTTCCATGAAGCTGTGCGGTTCTTGGTTGGTTTCTGAATTCTGAGTTCTAACTTGATTGCACTATGGTCTGAGAGGCTGTTTGTTATGATTTCAGTTGTTTTGCATTTGCTGAGCAGTGCTTTACTTCCAATTATGTGGTCAATTTTAGAGTAGGTGTGATGTGGTGCTGAGAAGAATGTATATTCTGTGGATTTGGGGTGGAGAGTTTTGTAAACTTGTCTATCAGGTTTGCTTGCTCCATGTCTGAGTTCAAGCCCTGGATATCCTTGTTGATTTTTTGTCTGGTTGATCTAATATTGACAGTGGAGTGTTAAAGTCTCCCACTATTGTTGTGTGGGAGTCTAAGTCTCTTTGTAAGTCATTAAGAACTTGCCTTATGTATCTGGGTGCTCCTGCATTGGGTCCATATATGTTCAGGATTGTTAGCTCTTCTTGTTGTATCGATTCTTTTACCATTATGTAATGGCCTTCTTTTTCTCTTTTGATCTTTGTTGCTTTAAAGTCTATTTTATCAGAGATGAGAATTGCAACTCCTGCTTTTTTTTGCTCTCCATTTGCTT